CTATTTCACTATTTTATATACTTCATTACTGCTTTAAGATAACTATTACTAGATTATTTAGTTTTGTCTTGTTTGATCTCACATAATTAGAAGCCGATTTTAAAACTCATTATATATGTTGAATTTGTAAATAAAAAGAAGATTGAAACTATGTAGGTTATGGGAGATGGTGTCTTGTAAGACAATAAAACTTTTCTTTTTTCGTTTTGCAAAGAAATTCCGAAAAACAAAATTTGTACAAATCAACTTAAAACTACAATGAATATTAGCTAGATAGATAAAGTTGAATAGATAGAGACAAATAAATTTAGTAAGAATAACTCGTACAAGTAAAAACATCAGACAACTAAGCATTTTTAATGAATACGAATCGTTCATTATGCTAACTGATGCAGTTGAATTATAACTCACATAAACATTGACAAATGGCAAATGCTGAGCTTATTCGAGCGTGCTTTTTTCCTATTTCACATCAATAGTTTTCTGTCTATTTATAATTCAAATAGATACTTTTATTTGCTTTTAAGTTAACATAGAAAATATAATCAGACTATATTTTATTTAAAAGAAATTGTATTTCGTTCGAAAATATCAAAGAACTTTATTAGATGTACCCAGGTCGATCAACTTGTGGCGTACACGGCCGTTTGGTATGCACCATATTACGGTCGTTTTGCATCATGCCATAAACGATGATATACGCTGTCGGAAACGTTATAAAACGTTAGTATACGTTGCCGTATACGGCCGTTTACGATCGTATCAGGTCATCGTAATGTTCGACCTGGGTTATCATAACTCGCTATAGCTAGCTAATCGAAATAATGAATACAAATGAGACGAAGCAACAATGACTCGATAGTATGTAAAGTCTTTATTAAAATGCTTCCCCCGAAAACAAGTAGCGATTTCTGAGAAGCATTTTCTTAACATTCAAAATTCTATAAATGAATAAATTTGTAGAAATCTTACAACCAAAAACTTTAAAACAGATGTTAACAAGACAATGATGGAATTACATGTTCCTACATAATTATTTAACTTTAATTTCCCACAAAATATACAATTTAAATACGTTTGAGAGAGAGAACGATAGCTATGCTATACACTGTAAACTAGAAAATAAGTTGTAGAGTTTAATCAAGGATATTTTAGGAATGCCTATATGAATTTCTAAATTCTTAAAAATAAGATATTCAAAACATTAAAAATATGAAATTCGATTTTTTAATTAGAAAATCGAGAGTGAATTCATATAGATGCATCCCTAGAATGTTAGATGCAATAGAGCAATTGGAATATATTCTAAAAACTAGAAAATCGAATATTTGATTTTCTCGTCATCGCGAAACATTTATACTTGATGATAGAAATAAAATCAAATACAACATAAACAAATAAAATGAAAGCTAAAATAGAACAATAGTTAACATAAAATAAGAAGTAAAAAAATAAGTAAACATTATATTTGATCAGTAAAATAAATGAAATGATGAGTAAAACATAGAAATTTTGGTGTGGGTGTGATTCTTCTGCTCATCTACACTACCCCACATCATTTTTTTGAATTCTTTGATTTCCATTTATTCCATCATTTCCTTCCAGAACCTCTTTTTCTGATATATCACTTTCATATTGAGCAACTTGTACAACTTCCATCTTTTTTATTTGTTGAGACTAAGCTGAATGAGAACGAAAGGAGCTTACAAGTACATTTATATATGTTGTACTTATATCAGCTGTACGATATTTAGAGACCAAAAGAACAAACATGAAAAAAAAGTAAATCACTTTATAACACATTTCAATTTTTATACTGATCCTTTAATCTAATTTACTGACTTTTGTGTACTCAAAAAGTGAGTACACTACTAAAATCGGTCAGTGTGTCCGGCCGTTTATTCGATAACTCTTCACAATTACATTCGATTGAACTGAAATTTTGTGCACAGAATTGTCTCATCAATATCTCGGTCGAGTTCGAAGATGAGAAGAATCCCTCAAGAAATGGTTGAGTTATCGAAAAAATTGTCATTTTTGACTAGACCATCCCTGAGGAGGGGTAGCTACAGGATTTTTTTTCAAAAAACAAATTCTTCTCACAATTATTCACAACATATATAAATCGACTCAGTTTTTAACGCTGATTTCGAATCTGATATTAGTTTTGAACTAAATCGTAGCTTTCTAACAAAAAATCGCCTGAAAAACGTCTCAAAATGAACAAAAAACTGTATCCAGAAATCAAATTGCCTAGTTTCTCATGATAATTTTGGTGTTCAAACATTCAAGAATGGCTCATATGTCCCATGCACTTTTTGTAGTACACATAACTCTCGGATGAAATCCGAAGTTTCCACATTTATTAAATAATATATCAATAAATCGAAGTATACTAATAACTGACCACACAAATAACGTACTGATCATTCGTTTATTCTACTGATCGCTTAAATGATAGCCAAAAAATAAAATGGAAAAAGAAAGATTTAACAACCCCTAATAGCGAGTTGAAGAAAATATAATGAAGGTTTAACATTATACCTGCTGACTTATATGCTAAGACAGAACAATGACTAATTGACGGTTTTTGTTTCGACAATCTTGGAGGAAATAAAATCCCCTTTTCTCATTTTCAAATAATTTGTTGTGAATTTTCCAATTTATAGAATTTAAAAAAAGACAAATTACAGTGTATATTATGTGTCTGCAGATACAAAATTGACACGTTCATTTAGCAAATAATTTTAATATTTTTGACAAACGTTCATAATGCAATATTCGTTCTTCATTTTGATCGCTTTTTAATATTAGATATGTTCTAATTTGCAAACATCACTCTTATATAATTTTCTCAAAAGAAAAAATAAATAGAGTTCATCACTTGAAACTCCGATTGGATGGCTTTTTAATGTCTGCTTGGGTTAGCAAGATGTAATTATTCAAGTTTGATTTTCTACAAAAATATAGAATTTAAATACGCTTCAGAGAGAACGATATGCTATATTGTTTCTATAGAATAATCTTCCAGTATATAGAAAAAACTTATTCTGAGGAATTTCTAGAAAAAAGAATGATCTATTCAAAGAATTTTATTCGATACTTTCCAAATTATTTAATATACTAGCTATACTCGAGAAAGAGAAATATCTCCTTTTATTCTTACTCTTTCTCTTCTAGTTAATATTCCTGCTAATGCTAAATGGGCACAGAACGGAGTGACTATTGCTGGAGGTAGCGGGTATGGGGGTGCCACTAATCAACTCAACTGGCCTCATGGTCTCTTCGTTGATGATGATCAAACAGTGGTTATTGCTGACAACTTGAATCATCGTATCATGCAATGGAAGAACGGTGATACAACGAATGGACAAGTTGTTGCTGGTGGTAATGGCGAAGGAAATGGATTACATCAATTGTATCGTCCAACTGATGTATTAATTGACAAAGAGACGAATAGCCTCATTATTTGTGATTTGGGGAATCAACGAGTTGTACGATGGTCTCGTCGTAGTGGTACAACACAAGGTGAAATACTCATTGACAACATCGCCTGTTGGGGATTAGCTATGGATGAGCAGAGACATCTCTACGTTTCTGATAACGTAAAAGATGAAGTAAGACGATATCAAATGGGTGAGAAGAATGGCACTCTCGTAGCTGGTGGTAATGGTAAAGGTGATGGTCTTAATCAACTCAATGTGCCGAAATATCTCTTTGTCGATCGACAACAGAGTGTCTACGTATCAGACGACAACAATCATCGTGTAATGAAATGGAATAAAGGTGCAAAAGAAGGTACTGTGGTCGCTGGAGGACAAGGTGAAGGGAATGCTCTGACACAATTGTATTATCCTCAAGGAATCTTCGTTGATACGTTGGGTACACTCTATATAGCAGACTCGTTCAATAATCGTGTAATGCGTTGGACTCAAGGAGACAAAAAACAAGGCACTGTAGTTGTGGGTGGAAATGGTTATGGAGCAGGAGCAAATCAGTTCAACTACCCCTGTGGTTTGTCTTTCGATCGGCATGGTAATCTCTATGTCGTCGATGAGATTAATAATCGTGTTCAACGATTTTCTATCGAGTAAGACTTGTGAATTGTTTTTTCTTTGTTCGTTTCTTTTTCTATACTTTGAAATAAATGAGCAAAAAAAAGAAATTTTATTTTACTCTTTTGCTTCAAAGAAAAGAAAAAAGCTAAAATATAAAATTACGTCATATGTTTCTTCTCTTCTTCTTCTTTTATTTATTTTTTGAATGAAAATAAAAGAATTTGTTTTTTTTCGGAAAAAATATTAATTATTAAAGTGAAAAATAAATTATGTCGTTTTTGAAAATATTTATTATTACAATCAAAAATAAAATTTGCGTTATTTTTACAAATATTTATTATTGATATGAAAAACAAATTTGCTTTTTTTGAGAATATTTATTAGTAAAATGAAAAATATTTGGTAGTAAAAGAAAATAATTTATTAGTAGAGTGAAAAAAAATATTCGTATTATTTTTACAAATTTTATGATTTAAATGCAAAGAAAATTTGTGTTATTTAAATGAAAATTTGTTATTTTCGCAAAATATTCATGATTCAAATGTAAAAAAATATTTGAGTTATTTTGAAATTATTTATTGTTAACATAAAAATATTTATTAGTGAAGTGAAAATAAAATTTGTTTTATTTTCACAAAATATGTATTATTGAAATNCAAAAAACTAAACATTAAGATGAAAGTGCAATATCAATATATCAATTAGTCTAGAGCTAATAGAGTAGATTCTTCGACCATACTAAAAGTTGCGACAGAGTTGAAAATTATTTGTAATAAATAAATATGTTATAAATTTGAAAAAAATAAATGCAATCGATCTTATTCTAAATCGTGTTAAAATTGATCAGAAAAATATGCTGTTTGCGAATAATATGGTTAAGGCAATAAATAAAAACTCATGTTAATTGTTTGCTTATTTTCATAACAAAAAGTATCAGATAATTTATTTTAGTTTCTCACGATTGAACATGTATTGAAACTCATCGGGTGTATCAAAAACACCGCAAGCCAAAAGGTTGATATTGGAAAGAGATTTAACTGGAGTATAAATTTCATAAGTCTGTGTGTCATTGCTACAATGTTCGATCCAACCTTAAAAGAAACAAAACCGATCGAAAATAACAACAAAACAAGATTGTTATTGACTTACCAAAACCTAAACAATCGAATAGTTCATCTTCATAATTCAATAACCGATATATTCCATTGACATTCATTGCCGATTTTTGTAACTGAAATTCAACGGATATAATTTGATAATAAAAATAACTTTTATATTACTTGATCAAATTTTTCACTTGAACACAGAGCAACAATTGAACGTTCAAGAGTATTAGGTATTACATCCGAATACTTATTCGTTTTATTAAGTAGAAATACGTGAAGAAGTTGTGACCATGGAAGATGAATAGATGAAAGATCTGGTGAGGTGAAAAAGTATGACCAAGTCGCAAGAAGTCGATGATCGCGTCCGTATAATTTTGGTCTATGGCTAAAATATTCATGTCCAGAAGTTTTTTTTCATAAAATTAATAAGAAAGTTTGTTACCTATGAATTGGATCTGATACTGCTGCAGATTGTATTTTAATATATTCATAACTCAATTGACCATCATAATCTTGTTGTCGTTTATTATTCATTTTTATTTTATCCTAAGTAGAATATACTAAGAAATAAAACAGACTAATAGTTTAATAATATGCTTACTCTATATGGTGCAAAAACCGGTTGTCGTAATAACCACTCAAGTGTCAAATCAGGCATTTTATTGCGATCTTGATGTGAAACTAACGTATTTCGTAATTGAATGACAACATTTGGAGAAAACATACATATTTTCTCTTTCAGTAGTTCAAGACCAAGACCTAGAAATTTTCAAAATTGAATAAACCATGCTATGAAAACTTCGTTGTCTAAACATTAATTTTAGTCTAGGTACTTATAGAGACTATTCATGTAAAACTTTTTACTGAATCCATTGATAGATAGATTTTGAGAAAAGATGTCATTTTCATATAATGTTACTATACTGAGATAGTAAGTCAATATTGTAGTACTAAATCGATTTCATTCAGTTTTATAGATCTGAAAACTTTCTCATGAAATTCGGATCAGATAGATAAAAAGGAGAATGAATTTTCAAGTAGTATAAATAGAGAAATAAATGACGAAAACTTTTATGCTTGCAATTATGAACTCTTATCGTTCACATACATCCAAAATATCATTTCAATAGTATAAAGAATAGTAGCATTTTACGGTGATCAGCTATTCTTTAGTAAACATATCATCATAAACTTGAATTCAATTATAAATAAAACTTTGAAAACAATTTCAAATATTCAAAAACTTGCAACTAAAATTCAGCTAATTGTACGGAACTATTTTTATACATTCTTTTTGTAATTTGACTACATCGTAAGAGTAATAATACGACAACTACTGAGTCAGTTTGAGTGATTCGTACCGCAACTATGTAGAATTTTTTAAATATTATCGAATAAGATTGTTCAGTCAATCAAAATTCAATTCTCACTTATATGTAGAGTGTATTTCTATGCGATCTAAGTTATCAGCTGTCTATTTTTCATATTTACCGGTTACCCAGCCCATAGTATTGACTACAATCATCGATCGTTTTTTATTTGCATTCTTATGATCGATATTCCACAATTGTCTTAATCTATTAACATATTGTAAATAACGAACAGGTGCGGGCTGTGGCGAAACAAAGCCATAATAAAGAAGACGGTCAGATTTTGCATTTGATTTTATATGGGAGCATGGTGGACCTAATAATGGTGTTTCAATATCAGTGTAAGATAAACAGTCACCAATAGTAAATTCACATTGACCAATGTCACAATCAAAATATGTTAAGCCAAATGTCGAATTAATATGATCAAGAGCACGATTAATCAGATAACGAGTAAATATAGATTTACCCATATCTTTTTCACCACAAGTTAAAACTACAAATGGAACATCTAGAAAAAGAAAACCATCAAAGATACAGTTCATAAAAAATTAAATAAAAATTAGTTTACCTTCGTTAGCTTCATTTAACCATCGCTTAATAATTTTATCAGTAGTTGAAATAAATTCTTCACGGGTAATAACAGCAGTTTGATCTGTCGTTTCAATTAAACGAATATAAAGATCTTGTTCTAGTTGCATCCATTTGTTTATTCCAGGCAATTTATATTCTTCGGAAAAAAAATTCGATAAGATTGATGTTCCCGTATAGTTTGAATAAATAGTGAATCATTATTCGGTTCTTTTCGTAATAAAAGTATATCACCCCCTTTTTGTTGGATATTAATAAGAGCATTTTCAGCTAATTGAGCATCGGAAATAAATGATTTTATATCTGACAAAGAAATCATTGTCGTAGAAGTAATTAGTTCGATGGCAAGTGGGCTGTTTGTACGATAGTTTCACACTGAATAGAATGTTGCAGGACGAATATGACATCCATGAATACGAACTCGACCAAATAATGAACAAATTTGAAAACTTTGTTGAAATGTTAAATGTGAATCAAGAAAATGTACTACGTATGTTGGTGGTTCAGAAAATGAACCGAGCACTGATGACTTAGCCGGCGAACAATACGATGTCTGATCTTCCTAAAATAACAATCGAACATGTCAGTTTATTTGTTTAATATTCATACAATATTATTAATTGAACTGAGGAAAATATCTTGTCATGATGATTTTGTGAAATATCATTAATTTATTTCTGAATGATGAAGATTCAAGAGAATAAAGAAGGAAATTTACTTTTTTTGCATACATTGGTTTGATGGGATAACCTATTTTATGGTCAAAACAAATTCTTTCAATGGCGACGTATCAAAAAAAGAAACTGAACATTCTAAGTAATTCGATTTTCGAATCTATTGATAATGAATCCGTGAAACAATTTCAGACGAGAGCAATTTTTCTATCATATCGAGGTATATTGTAAAATCTATAATCAGACTATTTCTAATGTTCCTTTCATAGCCTATGAGAAAATATATGCTAGGTTCTACCTGATTATACTTTTCTGAGATCTTTTTTTCCATGAAAACAGAAAGATTTTAATCTTAACTAAAGAATCACGTTGAATTCACTCTTATACAGATATGATTTTTCAATACTGTCAAGTAAAAAAAATGATGGATATTTTCACTTAGTTTCATTTTTATAAAGCTAAGATAAAAATAGAGGTCTAAGCATTAACTGTTCAATTTCTTTTGTTTACTAGATTTGATTTTTATAAAGAAAATTTCTCGGATTATAGAGAAAAAATACCATCCAAAAAGCAGAGCAAAGCTTGCCGTACAACGCACGAATCCGGTGCTGTTGTTTATTTAGAATAATTGTTTTTTTCTTCGTGATCATGTTCAGATTGAGGCGACAAGCGGCGAGCCATTTTTGCATTTGATGCTTGATATAATTTGTCATCATTATTCGGCGATTGTAGATGAATATCTGAAGATGAATGCTTCATTGTTTAGATTTTTATCGTCTAAAAAATATTTGAGAAAATAAAATATCAGATAAATTTCGCTTTAAATAGATTTCGATAAGATGTAAAATCTAGAGATTAAATGTTTCGATCCTTTTCGGTTCATTATTATAGCTAACAGCAATTTTTCCTTGTTGATTGTCATTGATTATTAAGCATGCACTATGAACATATTTATCAATTTGTTTCGATGTTGAACCATTGACATACCATAATGAACTAGTTGTTCTTTCTGTCAATAGCCATGCATCATCATTATCACCAGGTAAACCTACTAGACGACAACCAAAACCTGGTTTGTCTATTTCACATGAAATATTTCATTTTTGACCACGAATAATTAACTGCAAATTAAGATCAAATGAATCAAAACGCCAATGTTTATCTTGTTGAAGTATAATAATAGTTAATTGATTTTTATTGGCAAACATTCGAACCATTCGAATACCTTCATCAGAATTTTTGATAATATCTTTAGTATTCCAACGCTTAATTAATTTCCAATTTGGATGTGTCTCTGTTGACCATCGTTCAATGTAACCATTACTATCCAAGCTAACGAACGCATCATTTGTATTTGATGAAACAGTTATTGACCAAAATGGATGTTCATCAATTGGTTTTATTTCTGATAGAATAGTAAGCATCTTTCGTTGAGGATTATAAATAAGAATCACTTGTCGACATACAGCAAGAAAACAACAATTCAACTTTTCAGTATAGATCATATCACAGACATTACCAAATCGAACATCAAGTTCATGATAACAAAGTTCACTGCCATCAGAAATATTATAGAGAACGAGACGATTTTCATTTCTATTAATGCTTAATATGTAAGCTAATATATATGTATCGGATGCAGACAAGAAAAAACAATTTCTATCATGTAATGAAATGACTTGTCGTTCGAACAATAATTGGGAATTATTCAGATGGGATACTACAGGTTTTTCAACGCGAACTGATCGAGACCAATCCATAGGATCGTCTGAAGTCAATTGAAGATGAATGTTGATTTGATGAATTTCTTTCTTGAATTGTTCTAGCTTAGCTGATAATTGTTCGACATCATTCTCAAAAAATTGATCATTTTCACGTGTTTCTGTCAATTCTTTTGTAAATTCGTCATATTGCATTTTTATTTCATTCAATTGTCTAGTAAATTCCAAACGAATATTACCACGATTCTGTTCAGCAACTTGATTTATGTTCATAAGAAAACAGATTATGAAAAAATTTAATCTTAGACTCTTTCTAAAATGCCACTCATATTTCTTATGCTTAGTAAACAAATCGTGAGCCTATTCTCTATAGATGAATTTTTACTATTGCATCCACATCGAGTTTTATTAGATCAATCATCGAGAAATAATTGTATTGATGTACTAAATTAACATCTATTCGCTTTTTTATTGTCATGTCTTTGATAGCTAAGCTACTTATGAATTATTTCAATATGAAATAAGAAATCATTATCATTCCAAGCTATTCAAATAAAGCGTAATTATAATTTTATAAAAATAAGATTCATCGAAATACTCTACTGTTTTTAAAACTATTTTCTAAGTAAAAATTAAATTACCTTCAGTATACTCACACAGATTCATGCATTTTTGTTTCCCACTCATCAACTATTTGTAGCACTTTTTCAATATTTTCATTATTCTTGTTCATATTTGTAAATATTGATTCGAAGAATTCATCTCGTCGAATAATAACTGAATCAAGTTTTTCTAAAAGTTCTGCTCTATGTTTGGTGAGATCTGCCAAACAAAATGACACTTGACAAACCATGACATGAATGAATGAATACCCATTTTTGGTTTCTGCAGGTTCTCTTCCACACATATAGAACATAGTTTAAACAATAAGTTACTCATCTGAAAAATAAAACTTTTAAGCACATGGGAATTTAGGAAGAATGATGGTAACACACAATACAATTCACTCCTTTTTGAAATAAATAATGTTTTGATTGGCAGACTTTAACTGAAATTCATCATTTCATTTATGTATGTTACGTTTAAACATAAGATGTCACTAGATTTCACGTAATCGTAATTAGTATACTTTTTAAATTGCAGCGTATCAACAAGAATGAAATCATATTGAAATATTTGAATTTTCATTAATATTTTTATTAGAAAAATTCAAGAAATTATAGAAGTTTTACAATTGAGTTGTATTCATGATGCTGGAGGCGAGTCATTTCTTTTCTTGTTGATTTCCAGGTTCAAAATAAACAAGAAAAGAAATATACTTTCATGAAATTGTATGTTTTCAATAAATTCTCAATTGCATTCAAATGCGAAATACTTTTTACATTAGTCGGATTACTATTTCTCGAAATTATGTACGTAGTATGATGAAAATATAATATAGTAAGTCTATGTAACTGATTTTTTAATTAATTTCGGAGTCTGTGGTATTGGCAACTAGACATCAAATAGTAATGAACGATGAATTTGCATTTTCATATCCTCATTAGGTATTTACTTCGCTTTTTATGAATAACTTTGTAATATATGGTTTACTTATAGGAGTAAACGAAACATATCAGTAATTTGATTCTATTTTTACTTCTATTCATGAATCATAGTTGAAATACGAGAGTTTATTAATATTTAAAATGAAAAATAGTAAATACGTTAGTCAAGCCTTTAAAATGAGTTCACGCTTATGACAACAATTAATTTCATTAGACCACAGTGTACACGAAGAATACTTTCACAAATGTAGAAGATTATAGATCCCCTTGTAGTCCACAAAGTAAATTTGCAGGAAGAGCTTTATCTAGATGAAAAACAAAATCGATATGAATTAGAAATAATAAACAATTTTTACCGATTTGTTTTGGATAACTAAGATTAAGATTTGCCATTATTTGAATGAATTCTTCACGTGATTTAGTTAAGCGTGGATTTAGAGTTTTCTCTTCCAAAATACTTGAACATGTTTGTCCTAAATACATAAACAAATTGAGTCTAAACAATTTTCGATGAGAACATCAAATCAATAAAATACCCGTATAATCATGTGCTGGATATACAAGATAATGATCGGGTAGTGAAAATAGTTTCGAATGTACTGATGTAAAAAGAATATCGGCACTTCCTTGTTGAAAATCAGTTCGACCGCAACCACGAATGAGAAGAGCATCACCTGTAAACACTGCTCCATAATCATGCCAAACGAAACTCATACAACCTGAAATCATTTTGTTGTCTCATTCGATTGAATTCTTTTTGAATTCCTACTCACCATTTGTGTGACCAGGTGTTGTTCGGCATTCAAGCGCCAATGGTGTTTTACCTGATTCACCAATTTTGATGAATTCACCATCTTTTAGATAGATATCTGCTTTAGCTCCACTTAAATTCGAAAGAACACTTTGACATCCTGGAAATAATGCTTTCAGTTTTCCACTTCCTGTTATGTGATCAGCATGAACATGTGTATTGACTAAAACAAAGACGGTTTAATCATTTTTCAGAAGTGAACTTTCAAGTACCTGCATATCGTAAATTGAGTCCAAGTTGTTGAATAAGTTTTGCATCACGTTCAACAGTATCAATAACAGGGTCGATAATTAAAGCTTCTTTTGTCGTTGAATCAGCTAATAGATACGTGTAGGTTGATGATTGATTTTCGAAGAGCTTTTCAAAAATAAGAAAGGACATTTGATGGTAGAAAAAAGAGGTGTGTTTGATTCATACTTGTCTTAAAATGTGTTTGACCATTGTTTAGGATTTGTTTGCAGGATAGTTTTATCGTAGAAACGAAAAAAGGCACAAAATGTCTTATCTACAATGATAAATACAATTAAACGTACTACATAACTTTTATATAAGAAAAACGACCTTCATAAAAAAACGTTTCTTTCTCCTTCTGACTTTAATGCATATTTTGTCGCCGTTTATATACCATACGAGTTGCGTGCGCATGTTGTGTACCCGTTATGAGAAGTAGAGTATTCGGTACTTTGGAGGTTAACAGAGAAAATAAAAAGAGAAGCAATAAGATATTAGTAGACAAATTCAATTTGTCAAAATAAAAGAGAAACAGGAGAGAATTCATTTTAAAAAAATGTGTTCTAAATATTTTCAGCATGCATTTAAGTGATTTATATTACGTTGAAGCAAGGGGGAAACAGCTAAAATCAGATTTTTTTACAATTTTTTTTCTAGATTTTATTTAGATTTTATTTATTTCGTTTTTTGGGTGCTTCAACGTCTTTTGTTAAAGGTCTTTTCAAGTCTGAATATTTTAATAAGATCAGTTTGACAATTATTAAACATCCAAACTGGTTTTTCTCGACTTTCTGGCATCGGTTAGGCTACCGGTAAATCAGTAAAATCAGTTATTATTACAATGAGCCTAGAATTTTTGGTATTAGTATGCTTTCTAGGAAGGTGTTTTGAATCATATTCAGTACAGATATTGTTCTCTTTTGAGTGTTTCCCTAGAGTTCTGGACAGGTTAGGTAAATCACGGTAGTTTTCATCTGCAGAATTGGGTACTCGTATGGTGCTAGTTACAATAAGAAGAATGAAACAATACAATTGGCTAAATCTCTATTTTTCTTTCTTTTGAAAAACAAAAGAAAATTCACAGTATCATTTGTTCATTACACGCCTCGAGCGATCCGATGACAATGATGACTTATCATGCACTAACAGCCAGCATGCTGTTTGCTTATGTAAGAATTTTGTTTGCCCATTGACTATTACTTTAAAATATGATTGAAAAAGAGAAGGTTTAACGTTGTCATAAATACGCACACCACGAAACAAGCAGTTGCTAACGTTCGAGAAACACTCTGAGTCAGCTATGCCTTGGTCACTGTCAAGGTCTGATGACATTGAATCATGTGCAGCTTGGTAGTGGTTTTCCTCATCATCAGATTCCGAGTCAAAATCGGAAGATTCTGTTTGACTTGAACCACTGATTTTTGCTGTTTTTTCTAAATGATTTTCGACGATAAGACTCACTTCATCAATTGTTATTGAATTACCAATTTTGTTTAAAATATTGATATTCAGCGATGCTACAAGTTCACGTGCATCAGCAAACGCATTTTGAACTATTCGTTCAATTTCATCGGTGGATAAAGAATTAGAAATTCGCGCAGTAGATGTGAAATTCTGTAGTTTTGATTTTTTCTGATGGCGAGGAAAATGAAACGGAAAATCAGGATTAGATTCTGCTTCACTCTTGATTGTTTGAAAGAACGGACAATTTCTCTACACGTCGTAAAGATTCAGTCACAGAAAAATTGACAACTGATGAGAAAGTTCCTGACATAGACTGAGCGGTTCGAAACATAGATTCGCATGTTTGTGAGCTGAACAGTCATATACGAAGAGTTTCCGGTGGTAGCTGATTATTAGCGACGAGAAGAGTGATATAGACCATAGTATGGGTGTTCATTTCAATTGACTAAATAGCAGACAATATTTAATGATATATGTTTTAGAGAAAAAATAGTTTAGAGAAAGTATAATGCTACAATCGTCATATAATATTCAAATTCAACTAGTAATTCAAAGAATGATTTTAAACAGTGTTACAAATATCCTAGGCCTCATTTACAATCGACAAAGTGACGTGATTAACACGATAATTAGTTAGTTAGTTTCATAGGATTAAGCCTACATTCAGAAAATTATTTTTTTAAATGAGCTCAATCATCGGAGGATAATCTAATATCAACTTCACTTAAAACGTACAAAATAAGCAGGATTCGTAATAAAAAATTTATTTTTCGATTTTCCTTTTTCCTTTGGCAAACTGGAAGCAGAAGTCTGCGGTTTCCCATAATCAAGCATATTTCTTGGTGTCGTTATGATCTAACTTAGCCGCAGACGACAAATGAAAGTACACAACCAAGCATAATAAAGCCGATCGCTATGTTCAACATTTTTTTCAATAAATGCAAGACAAACATATTTTATTATCTAGAGTAAAGGGCAATGTAAAATCTGATAATAAAAGTTCTCGACACTGAAGAAAAAAGGTACCATACGAAACCCCAAAGGTATCCGATCTTTGCAACCAAATCGAAATCCTTTGAGGTTTCGTAAAAAGCCTTAATTTTAATAGCTGATAACAGGGGTTTCGTATTTGGGGTTCTGTATAATTCACCGCGCAATATTGAATGAAGGATCCGCGGGGTGCTATGCTCCATTATGGAAGTAGTTTTCCACCACTATTCACTGCAAAACACACCCATTCTCTAAAAAAGAACCGGGTTCTGTAGAAACCACCAGGAAAGATGTCTGAAAGTCGCCGTATTCTGTAGGAGAACACAGGATATCGCTGGAACATGGAAGCAGTATTCCGACCGCCAACTTTCGCAAATTGTTTTCAATGATTTCCGGCGCAACTTGCCGAAAGGCATCGCAAGTTGGTCGGAACTCACTAGAAAAATCAGGAAGGTTTGCGACCGGGATACTGTTTCCATGTTCCACCGACACCACGTGTTCCCCTACAGAATACGGGGACTTTCAGGCATCTTTCCTGCCAGTTCCTCCAGGTTCTGGTGGGTGAAGCGATTGGTGTGGGATGTTTCATCTAAAAAAAAAACATTAATTCATCAGCTTTTAACTTTCTAAATGGAACTCACCATTAAATATTGGTTCATCTGAGAATCGATCTAAGAAGAAATAAAATGATTCATCAGGTGGTAACTTTCAAAATCGAACTCATCATTAGTACTTTTTCATCTGAGGGTGGATCTAAATATAAATAAAATATTTCATCAGGTTGTAACTTATAAAAATGGAACTTACCATTAGTATTTGTAGAGCTGAGCCTGGATCTAAACAGAAAAAAAAATTCATCAGCTTGTAACTTTCAAATCCGAACTCACCCTTATCATTTGTTCAAGTGACCCTTGCGCTAAATCGAAACAAATATTTCACCATGTCTTAAGTTTTAAAGTAGAACTTACCATTATTATTTGATCAAATGACGCTTGATCTCAATAAAAATCATATTCGGGTTGCTGGACCTCAATAACCTATTGCAAAGTTGCCTCAGAATTTATCTCGGAGTTGAAATAAAAAATCTACCTTTACAGTTTTTGACTTAGACAGGGGCCGATTTTCTGACCAATGGGGACTCGACGCGAAAAACTGACTACATATCCGGGTTGGTGGACCTCGATAAACTATTACAAAGTTATTTGACAATTTTGCCCGGAGTTGTAATAAAAAATCTTATTGTGGCAGCAATTGAACTTTTGATCGGTGCAATGTGGTGGGCGAAAACGTTCTTCAGAAATATATTGAACTGACATGATGGTCTCCTTGTGTAGCGGTCAAAAGCTTTTATACTGTGGGATCCTCTTACAAATTGGGAAAAGCTCGGAAACTGATGTTCTCGTTGTGTGTGAATGGGGTTCTTCGAAAATTCTGAACAGTAGAAAATAGAAGTTCTTATTTTGAATGGTAATGTACTGATGAACGAATTGTACACAAGGTTTATTACGAAACCTTTCTGAATACGAAACTCGAAAGGGTTTTTGACCAAACCTCTGGGGTAAGACACAATTCGAAGGGTTCCAGACAAAACCTTTTTACATTTTAAAACTCTTTGAAGTCTTTTACAGAACCTTGGATTTCGCGAAACCTCATACTGGTTTCGTATGATTCTACGGATACTTATATGGTATCGTAAAACTCGACGAAACCTCAAGGGTTTCGTGTGACACCTTTTTTTTTTCAGTGTAGCTTTTTCCTTTTGTGAACACCACAAACACCTGAGAATACGGCCCCTGTCTAAAAGTAACCTTCATTAACACATTTTCGGATTAGATATATGAATGTTTTTGCCTCACAAGATTTCGCAAACTTGACTCGGCAAATACGAACACAATTATATATCCACAGACTACCTTTTTGATGTAGGTAACTGTCCTTCTCGAATATATCGGAGAGCATACTGAAAAAGTTCGAAGATTGACTAACATCTACACAAAATTACAATTCTTTCTTTAGCATAGAATATGAAACGTCTAGTGTATATATTTTCGAATAAACAACCGATTGATGCATTATTACTCCTTCAACTTTCACTTGAAGAATGAAAAGAAAAAATAAGGTGCTGGTTCCGATTTTCAATAGATGATGGAGGAAACAATCTCAAACCTTTTCGTTCTTGCACTACTTAAATACTATACAACATATATTTCTTTTGCATTATTGAGTTCGCTATACATATGTCATTTACCATTGCATGCATTACCCATGTCGCTCAAACCGATCGAAAACCATCGGTTAACCGCGGTTATGCAAGCCATTTTAGTGACTTTACAGTGTAAAAACCGACGGTTAACCGTGGTTAAGCGCCTGGTTAACCGGATAAATAACCGGTTAATTGAGGGCGAACCGGCTGTTTATCCGGTTAACCGTCGGTTTTTACACTGTATAGTCTCTAAAATGGCTTGCATAACTGCGGTTAACCGATTTTTATAAAAATGAACCGCGGTTAACCGATGGTTTTCAATCGGTTTGTATGACATGGGTACCCTCACTTATGCTTGATTTTTTTCTCCTTCTCTATTTCTTACCTTGCAAAAATTACATTCATAACATTTACGGTCAGCTCTATGATAGAGTATTGAAATGAATGAAGAAATGTATCCCGATCGGGTGTCAACAAAATCTGAACGAGAAAATATCAACCCGGAAAAACCGCCGAATCGATGGTTGAATGCTCTGTTGGCTACTAATGCCGTAACATCGGTCATCGGTCTCATTATTCTATTTCTTCTTCTCGGTATACCTGTGAGCATGCTTGTCATTGGCGTTCGTTATCGACATCGACACTTTTGTCCAATCGAGCCTCGTATTAGTCTATTTCTTACTGTTGGTGGTGGTGTAGCACTTGGATATGTTGTGCTTAGTATCGTTTTATCACTAATCACTATGTTTCTCTACTATACTCGATCGTTCAAGATTCTAGTTCCGGTTACTGTCCTGGCCATGATTACGATGCTCATACAGATTTTCCTGTTCATTTGGGTAATCATCGGCAGTGTATGGACATTCAGTATTTATAATGATGTTGAATATACGAATCCGCGTCGTTGGAGAAAATATTGTGATGAGACATTGTATATGTTTACTTTTATCTATTTGATTATTATCATTGTGCTTTGGGCTATACAACGTTGTGTTCGATGTTTTTTCGGTATTTTTCATGCAAGACAAGACACGTAGATCGACTTATTCTTGTATCATCATTGCATTTCTGTATGAACGGGTTATATCAAATTTCATTCATTTTTAAAATAAACTTGGCGTGGTCATTAGTCATAATACATCTGTAGACATTTGCTTATGCTTTTCTTACTTACGGAACTGTGTATAGTGCTCTGTTTGATCTACTCGTGTGTTTTGTAATATATTTGATTTTTCTTTTTTTCTTTTCTTCTGTCTACTCTTCGCGTGCATTTGTTCACAAGAAACCATCGGTATGTCATAGAATTCAAGAGAGAGAATGCTTCAAGCAAGCAGTATGCATGTTGTGTACAAATGTGTATGTGTTTTTGTTTTTGAAGAAGTAAACGGATGATGAGTTATAATAAAACCTATTTCAAAGATGTAGGTGTGATGTGAGGTATCGATGAAGGATGAACTCATTTCATCCTCTGCACGTATAGCGACGCCTTACGCTAACACTCAACCCAGTTCTTCACCCACATAAGAATCATCTATTATATGACAACCAAATATGCGGTAATAGCTCTTATTCATGTGTTGATCAGCCGTATAAAATGGAAAAAATACAATAGTGATAATAGTAGTCAGTTACAAGTTATATATCATATCAGCGATTTTCCTCCGGTTCTTATGCATGCTCCGCTTGAACAAGGACCTCTACCTATCTCTCCACAATATGCTGATGATGCCAATAGAAAATGAATGAATCATACGAGCAATAACTTTATTTAATAGTTGAATTGTTAAATAAATAGTTTTCATCTATACAATAAAATAAAGCACAATTACGCATGATACTTTGAAAATTTGTCCTTATTTTAGGATTTATATGGCTCGGCGAATGATGTAGGAATAATAAAATGTGAACTCACATCCATACCGATCAAAAGAACTATTTGAAATCCTAGCCACTAATCGGAAACAGTCTTTGAATAGAGAATTACGGCATTGCTTGTTAACATCAGTCATTTTCTATCAAAATAAGCAACGATAAATATCAAAGATATTAGGAAGAGTGAGAATCAACCTGCTCTTCTTTAATATATCAGCGAGTTACTGTTTTTCTTTGATGGTGACCTGGCTAGTGAGAATATTTATTGAGCATAGAGAAAATCAGGATTACCATGTAAGCGATCAGCAAAATATTCGAAATCGTCAATAGAAATATGTGTAAATGATCAGAATATATGAGACAATAAAATTAATTAGTTCTTTTCCTTTAAAGAAATTGTCTTGATAGAAAGTCTTATAATTTCGATTACAAGCATAGAGACTTATTTTATATTCTTATCAGTTTTCTTTCTTTGGGTATTCAGTTAGGTAATAAATTGACTTTCACTTTTGTTTATCGTGATAACAGACGAATGATAACTTGAAGAGAAAAGTCAAAAATGCAATAAGAGGTAGAAGAAAATTATCTTCATATTTATCATCATTGCCGAGTATATCAAAGCTTGAAACACATTATTCTCATATTGAACACGACCTATTATTGAATTAGCAAACGAGAACAAGTAAGAAAAAACTCATCTCAAATGATTCGCTCTAAATTAGAAGTCTTTTGGTTCATGAGATAAAAAATAGGCCACAATTTTATCAATGCTTTGATCATATTGTATATCCCACTAAATAACAATGCAGAAAGAATTCATTGATCTCATCATAAGGAATAATTATTTTATTTTTTATATTTATCAAGTTGAGCAGCATAATAATGGTCTCAAAGCTCGTTGTCATCATTATACTTGTGGCTGCAATAGTTAACAGTATCACATGCCGCCAGGTAACCATCAGTAATGTCATTCCTCGTCGAGATACAGATGGAAATATAATGGATGCTCATGATGGTAATGTCTTTCTACATGAAGGTCTCTACTATTATTATGGTGCAAGTTACGGCTTATGCAAAGAACCTCCAGGCCCATCAGGTTGTACCGTATGGCATACGGGTGGCTGTGGTTTTCAATTGAATCATAATGTTAGTCTTTATACTTCGACTGATCTTTCCGAGTGGAAATTTCGTGGATACGTTTTTCAAATGTCTTCAATGAAGACTCAAGGAATCATGTTTGGTCCTCGTGTTTTACCGAACCCAAAAACAAAGAAGTGGGTCATGTGGTTTAATTTCCTACCAGCTACAGGTACTGGGGTTTCTCAATCTCAGTGTGCTGTCGCAATATCAGACGGACCAGAAGGTCCTTTTCAACTCGTTACTGAAAAGGTTACTACTCTTGCATGGGAAAATACAGGCGATTTGAATCTCTTTCAAGACGATAATGGAGATGCTTATATTATCTATAACTCACATATTGATGGTAGTATTTACAAACCGGATCACTTGATGTCTGTGGAGAAACTATCCAATGATTATCTAAGTTCACTAGGCATGAAATTTAATAGTGGATTCTTCGGTCAGACCTTTGTCGAAGGTGGCGCCATGTTTAAACATAATGGAACTTACAGTGCAGTATTTGGTCAGTGTTGTTGTTACTGCGCAGAAGGTGCTTCAACGACTGTGCATACTTCTTTGTCTCCTCTTGGCCCGTTTGAAACAAGGAATAACCTAGGAAATGAAGGTCATGCACAACTGTACAATGTATTACAATTTAAAACTACTACAACCGATGGTTATGGATACTTATGGCAAGGTAACAAATGGCAAAGTTCTCCAGATGGTGACAAAGGACATGATTTTACCTACTGGTCGCCTCTGTCATTTGATTGGGATGGCAATGTGAAATATATGAATTATACTGCTAATTTTACAATTGATGTAATTCCTGATTTTCACTAGAACTTATAGATTTCTCTTATTATTTGAGAATTTAAGAATTTCTAATCAAATCCTTTTCTGCATAGTTCTTTGAGACTAGTTTTCACCTGACTTAGAAATCATCCTATAGCATGTTTATCATGATTGCTACATTTGATTTCCATTACAAGTTATTTATCAAGAGCTATAACAGGCTAAAGATGTAGTTTTCCTATTTGCAGTCAACATCTGTAAATTCTAACAGAAAATTAATATTCTTAGTTAGAATAGGCTATAGAAAAGCAGAGTTAATTACTTGAAATCAAAAATTTAATGCAATACGTGTACTATATTTATTTTGAAAATAGTTGTTTCCATTCAAACATGTGTAAATCTACAAGCACTAACCATCATAATCTCTATATTTCATAATGCTAAATGAAATTCATGAAAGTATATTACAAAATACAACGATAGTTTTCAAACTGATTGATTAAAATGGATAGTTCTATTATTTCCATGGCATACTTTTAATTAATGTTATTTGAATTTGCTTTATTAAAAGATCGAATGCTTTCAATGTTTTCTTTGTTCGTTCTTCCGATATAGAATTCATGAAACTAGACTACACTGTATGCAAATGACTAGTTTTACCGAATTTTCACTACAATCTGCTATGGTGTCTTCTAAAGTTACGATACGAATGTCAGAAAGTTCAACTTGACTCAGTTAAAATGTAACTAAGATAGTGCATGAATCTCTCAGAGGCGCCTTTCGATGGGGTTTTGTTTCATAGTATTCGACTGGACCTTCCGAAAAATTAGTTTTTAATTGATAAATGAAGTATTGGGTATCGAATTTCTTGAATAAGAATGTCGCCGTGACCGGTTAAGATCCCAGTTTGTGCTGAACATGGCAAAGTTCGCATGAAGTTCCTTCAATACGTTTGCTCATTAACACATTTCTTAGCTATCGAAGATTCAACAGAAAAATTATCATCTAGAAAAATTATTCTCAATTGAACTATCAGTGTTGATTTGTGTCTGGCATAATTAATAGAAATCTAAGAGTTTCTAAGTCGAAATTCATCAAGACAGAGAAGAGTTTGTCCTATAGATATCTCATATTGAAATCATTGCTATCCAACCATAATGATACACTGACGACTGGCGTTCGTTACACATCTATTATTCTTCTGGTGAAGCTATCCGTTTAATTTGTGAAAATGATAATATTCTGTAGGTTATTATATTCAATTTTTTGAGAAAAAGTGTTTAAAAATGGCAAATAGCATTTTTTAATCGGAGAAAACCTTTTCGTAATTTCTATATCTAAATAAACCTTTGATAAGCACGGCATTTAATAAATAACTAATTTGCATGGCAAATTATAAAAACAATATTTAGATAATTTGCAAACATAAAAATTGGTCATAACTGCGTTTTTTATCGTCCGTTTAATATAAAATATTTTTGAAATGGCTATTGAATCTTTAAGAGGATATCTGTATGTATTGACAGTGTTATTCTGCTAGGTTTGCTTCTGTTGAAGGAGTCGAAATAATTATTCCTATATGTCTCTGTTTTCAAATAGGAGAACAGGACGGGAAGAAAAGCATGTGTAGTTCGAGCCTGTTTTGACGCGCCTTCAATCAATTCGAGAGAAAATAATTTATTTAATAATATGATTTCGCTAATAATGGATGAATAAATATTTGGTGCATAAAAAAAATTATGTAAGCGGAAAAAAACGAGTATCAAATAAATATAATCAATACAGAGAAAGCCGTAGAATATTAAAAACAACAGCTTTATATTTATGATCCACTCATAGGTATTCTCTTCAATCCAAACATAAACGTTCTAACAGTTATTTCGGAATAATTGCAAACTCAATACTATGCGTCTACATATATTCGCTACTATTTTTTTGGTTGCTCTGATTTTGATTGCTGTAGTTCAGGCTGCTCCAACAGACGATGGTGACAACGATATGTTGGTGAATAAACGAGACATTAGTCTACGATGTTCAACAGAATGCAATAAATGGGACAGATGTCTTCGCCGATATGCATATCTTACTTCATGTAACAGACCTACGGGTTGTGACTGCGACTAATTCATTTGCGATCTATACACGCATTCCGAAGAACTTCGAAACTTGTTACACTCATTCATTTCTTTTATTTTTTTCAAATAAACGAAAATAAAGGAATATAAATCGAAGGATTCTAGAATTTAAATTGCTTTTCAGTAATACCTGTCTGTTTGTTGCTGATGCGATTTTATATTTGCTCTTTACTGCTATATTCACATAGGTATCCTATTTCTCTTGTTAAAACTTCAGGACATTTTATTTGACACAGTTTAATCAAGTTCAAAAACCAAGATTTGAGTTAATTCTAAACTATCATATACCGTTCGTAATTGAGGAAGTTATCTCTCTAGTGATATATGTTTCACATGTATTGAAGAAAAAATGTTGTAGGGGACTTCAACCATAAACATATGATCTATCGTAAAAGTACAATTTGAGACATAAAAAGTGATCAAATTGTTTCACATTCAAGCAAAATAAATCATTACATCTCTGATTTTTCTTACCAGTACTATTCTTGGCAATTTCACTAATCATAATATGAAATACTAATTGAAGCTGACACAACTATAGCATTTCGGTTAAATAGTTTTTATCGTCTATAACATGAGGGGGAGAGTTGTTGACAGAGAGTGACGAACATGATCAAGAAACGAAGTTTCACAGAGAAATCGCTAAAATCAGTTCGAAAAGGGAAAGAGGTGGCCACATCCACCTCATCTGTTGCGAATCTACCACTAGTTCTTGACTACTTTACACATATTGTTTCTTGTTGGTGTAATAATACGTCTCTTATTTATCTGTATCCAATAAAATATCTTTCAATCCCTGATCGGAAATTTTAAAATAACCCTTATGACGGCATTGCCACATGTTTGCCCAATTCAACACCATTCTCTTCATCATATGGCATATTAAACAAAGAGGAGAAAGAGAAATAACAGCATTCTTCCAATTATAAACTGATCAAATCATTGAACAATTCGTTATTATTGTTCTTGTTGACGATGTCGGTCAAATAGAACAAAATGAATATATAAATGTCGCCCTTTCGAAAGCAACGCCATAAATATGAACTCTTCATGTGTTGAATTGAATGATTTACCCGATGAGATTTTTCTAATTATTTTCAGAAAACTGAACAATATTGAAGTACTTTATTCTCTGCAAGGTGCCAATGAACGATTGAATCAAATTACACATGATCCAACATTTAATTACAAGTCATTTGAACTTTCTCAAATGGCCATCCAATAAATTTATCAATAAATACTCTTCTAATATCATGCATGATCGATTCTTTTTACAAATTTTACCTAAAATTTCTATGAAAATCAAATGAATTGATGGTGTGGGTGTCAGTTTGATTGTTGAAAACAGCCCAGGTCGACTGATCCGATATTGGATCGGATAGGAGCCTGGAAATATTCTACAATCTGATACAATTCTATTGGGTTTCGGGTCGAGGAATCGATGTCGGATCCTCAGTGTCGGAATCCCAGGAACTTCCGATGACATCCAACGGTTTTTCGTTAGAATTCATAGGAATCCAACACTGAGGATCCGACATCGATTCTTCGACCTGGAATCCAACGATAATTCTGTAAGATCTGACAGGATCCGATAAAATCCTATTGGATTCTAGTCGGATCGGATGGATTCCGATAGGTGCCTACTCTCGGATTGCTCGACCTGAGAGAGTCAACCACCCACACCCACGCCCACATTGGACGCGATATTTGCAATAATGGTGTATATTATAAGATAATTATGGACTATATTTCTTCTTTATATCGAGACGAAGTTATTCTAGCTAGAAAGTCATAATGATAGACAGGAGAGGTGCTTGTGAACTTTTCGAAAAATGAAGCTTTATTGACCAAGCCAAATGGCCAGAAAATACTATCTGAGCTCATTATTTTGGCTAGGATATATAAAGTAGAAATAGAACAGATTTAAGTAAAGGATGTGTGTTCCTTCAAAATCAGATATTTGTCAGCTCCTTGTGTCATTGTATTTTAGAGTCGCAAAGGCTTTCAAAATACGTCGCATTTATTTGTCATATACATAATGAAGCTCGTTCATATACATTTCTTATCTTACTATCAGCGCGAATTTGAATTAAAACGTTGTTTCATACGTTTGCAGATAGAATTTATTTTCTTTCTCCGCATAATGGCACAAAAACAATTTACACTTTCTGATGCAATAATACAAAAACGCTATTAAAGAAACATAAGAAATTGTTTGTGTACAGGAGTTATTTATATTTTCTTTCGATCCAAAATGAGATGCGATTTTCTAATACAAGTCGATGAATATCAACAATGCATGGTTGGTCAGTCAATGTAATTGTTTCATCACCCGTCTGCATATCAGTCACTAGCTGTTCGTTTTCGATAAAACTAAAACGTAAATATTTGAGTTGATGTTCATTAATATGAGTGAAAATGAAATCAATCCATTTATCAATGCTGCACCATGCTGATGAGATATTTTTACACTCATGGAAACGTAGGCATTCTAATCGAGGCAAATGGCGTTTATTAATAACGAAAGAAAGAAGTGGAATCATCACTTCTTCATTCAAATGTTTATTTATTATAGACGAACATTCTATATGTAGTCGATCAAGACGCTGAAGAAAAGCATCAAGATATTCATTGTCACGACTATTAGTAATCCAATAATTCAATTCATTTGTACTAACAAACAAACATTTTGTATTTGGTAACAAACGCAGCCAGCCAGTTAATTCTGCAACGGAAAAAAATGACAATAAAATTCATAGATAAGTTTCACGACAAAATTAAATTAAACTTCCGTACAGAATAAAAGTCCATCTTTAAGATTATTAGTTTCGTGCCAAAAAAAACGGTTCACTTTGTCCAAGATGGGTCCAAATTGATTAAAAGTGCAAGAACATGCATTCTTCTATTAATTAGATGAGTGACTAACCTCAATCGAAGTATATTTTCATAGTTGTAGCTCGTGCAACTAAGGCATCCCCCACCTCCTCTTATGAATTTCTATTCTGTGTGAGTTTAATGACAGGAGATGAACCGAACTTGTGCCTTTCACTCTCGGTCGAAAATCCTATTAGTTCTATCAATGAAGATCTGTATAATTCAATAGAATATCCAATGTCAAGTTAAACAAATCTGAACATACGTTGAAGATCATAATTAGTCATGGTGTCAGATGTACACATTAGTTGGAGTGTGGCGAAATGCGTAAGCTGTATATGATCATCAATATCGTCCGGTAATATTCCTCTTGCGTGCGATATTACTAATGTTTTGTCTGCAACAACGATAGAATTAAATAGATCAAGAAAAAATTTTTTTCAACGATAATATTAATAACTTACTCTGACTGGGGGGACATTGAAGTGCGTATAGAAATGAAACTGGTATTTTTTGCTTCTCAACCAAAGAGATAAACAAACATCTTATACCACACCAGAAACTTCTAAGTGTTATAGATAGATCATTTGATATTTCTTGCCCTTTCTCACTAGTATTGAATAGTGCATCGATTAGATCGATTGTACGATATACAGTATTGTCGAAAAATGTGTATGGAAGAGAGAATATTTGTACATAGTCAAATACTTGGTGATAATTCACGCACACTCGTATGCGACCCAATGGTCCATCGAGCCAGAAAGGTGTACGAAAAGCTTCAATAAAGTCATACAATATTTGTCTACTTGGTGACTCTATGAATTGCAGTTGGATGACAAAATGGAGTGATCGCAAATGAGATAATCTACTACAAAGAGCAGCAAGACGATGACCATCAAAGCATATATCAAGTTCGCCATTACAGTAATGAGTTAAAAACAAAGAAAATTCTTGCAGTGTATTGTTGAATTTATCAACTAATTGCTCCAGATAACTACAATTGGGTCCCACAATTTTCAAGTTTCTTCGAAAAAAGTAGATATCAATAAAACAATACTCAGAATAGAAATGTATTTTACCTTAAAATCAATACACGAATTTTTTTCGGGCAATTGAATTTTGTTATTAGATTTTGATCAAGAGTATTGATTTGGCCAATAATACCGCTGATATTTGCATCTATAAATAAAATAAATACACGTTCAACGTTTATTACCAATTTCATAGTCAAAAATGATGCTTGATAAGAACACTTAGATAAAACAATCAGATTAGCCAACATTCACTATTATTAAATGAAGTCTTATCTCTAATTAAAATATTTCTCAAATGCAATTTCCTCGTCACGCATACAAGTGGAAAAGGCTTTATCTTTATGATATCATTCGAACCGAAAGAAGTAAAAATGAATTTGATGAGTTTTAGATCATGAAATCAGTTATGATTTCTTCGAAATATCTTCTAGAAACATAAGACATTTACAGAACTTTCGTATGCTACAAATATTTTTATGATATAGAATACTAATTCTTACCTAAATGTTCAAGCTCAGGAAGATAATGAAGAAGTACATAGAGTGTGTTTAAATTGAGAATATTGATTTTGAGATGGACAAGAGAGTAATGTGGAACATAAGTATTAACAATTGTATGTTCGTACATAATTTCAAAACCATCTTCAGCTATCGAAGACTGCAGTTTATATTGAATGAGATTGACTGAACATCGAAATAACCAATCGAAGAAAGCTCGTGAATGGTGAGTTTGATTGGCACAAGAACTCAACGCAAATGTACGCATCGCTGATCCACCAGCTATAGCCAATAACAGTGTATTGATGGTATCTTCGTTGGCTGATGTAGTTAGAAAAATATGCAAAGAAACGAGTTGAGGAAATATCGGTTGTATGTGTTTGTATGCTATTAAAATAAGACAGATATCTTTTGATATCTTATCAGCTGATTTTCCTTGTCTTTCATAATGATTTGCGACAACTGACTTTGCCACCTCATCTACAAATAAATCCATTTGAGAACATCGAACAGGACTACCTAGTTTAAGAACAGTAAGACCAAGACGCCATTCAAACATAGTTGGCGCTTGACGACACAGGAAACGACAAGCTGATAATGAACAGTAACGTAAATCCAGTTGTTGGTAAAGTCCATGAAATTCTAATAACAGAGAATTCATACGAGTGTTAAGATTTAAAAAGCTGTAGATGACATCAGCAGATGATAATTGATCCCAAATACAAAGAATAACCTCGTTTGGCATGTGTTCAAATTGCAGCATCGTAATGAAAGGTTAAAATTTCAGCGATGATACAAATGAAAAATATAACTGCCTCGATATATGTAAGCGTTGGGTAGACGTGAATGTCTTTATGAACGAAGAAAAAACAATTTTATTTTCTTTCCGACCGAAAAGAACGAGACAATATCGATGGACCGTGGCCACTCACAAATAAGAGGAGAGCAGGATCATTTTGATTTGGCCGTTAACAATAAAAGTATGCAGTTTGTTTCGATTGATATTAATAGTTTCCTTCACAATTAAAATTTTGAGATAATTTTATTATGAAGTAATGATAGTGTTGCGTCATAAATGAGATCATTTTCATGGGAAAACTAACTTTATAGACGTTAAATTTTTTGTTTTACTCTCATACTGAACAGAATTTTCAGTTTTCTTCTATCTTAAACACATTGAGAGTAAAATGAATACTCACTTAAATTTATACCTTATATTTTCTTTTGTAAAATATGTTAGATAAGGTAAATTTTGTAGTCGAAAAAAATTCATGGACACAATAGTCAGAGAGTTACCAGTTTATTTATTTCTATTCCATAAATGTATTTATATTTTTCCTTTATTAAAGGTGTTCACAATTAGAGATCTTTACTATACCTCAAGTAAATGAGCTGACTGTGTTTCTGGAGGTAGATAAAACGTGAAACTGTATTCGTAATCGAGCAGTCTATACTGACGCCCATTAAAAAAGCCAATAAACTTTTACTTCATATAAAATAAAATAACTGAAGTGAAGATTATCGCTACATATAGTATTGCAATATTGTGTGAAAAAGTAAATCGTTTGCTTAATTTATCTTTTCTTTGAAGTACACTCAGTAAACAGAACAACATCCAATATATTACATTTACTCCTAATGTATAAAATTAATATACAGAATTTTTGACCACTAACTATGTTTAATTTGGTCATCTTCTATACAAAACCATTTATAAATTGATATAGTATCAATTGAAAACATAGAAAATACATTTGCATTTTAATATAAATAAATAACAAATGATAGAATAAAAATATTTATTTGTTTAAAACAAACATTAAATCAGAGATCATGAACAAGAATCAATAGAAATAAGTGTACGTTTAGAAAACTCAAGTATTACAACTGCATTTAACAAATAAATGATATTTGTTATACCATTCTATTTTCTTTATTAAATAATCTTTTTCTTTCTAAAGTTGTCTATTGTTACTTAACTTGGTGTTTACAAAGCAAAAACAAAATTTTTATCGGAATCTCTCATAGAGAAGCGTTGTCCTATTTCAAATAATATCATAAACTTTCTTTTTCATACAACATGTATAACTGCTCATAATCTCTCTCTGTCGGATCAGAATTTGGTTTTTCGATTGCTACAAACACAAATGAACAGTTGCTCATATAGCAATTCTCTGTCCTAAAATTGTAAAAACCAAAACGAGAGGAGTAAAAGGATAATCTGCCTAATTATGTAAAACTTTTTCTACGTTAAAAACGTTTCGATTGAGTTTTCCGACGTCTTCCCTTCTAACATTTTTGTAGGCTTTAAAAAAACCACTTTCAATCATATTCTTTTGTACTAAAACGTTCGTCTTTCTAAAAAAATTAATTCGTCAGAACATTTCACCTCAACGTTATATGAAAAAACTGATGCAAGAAATTTTGACCTATATTTTGCACATCAAAGAGTAAAATCGAATTGGAACAAAAATCTAAGAATTGCTTATGCTTTCGCAAAATACAGCTAAATAGAGAGATCAATCGAAATATAGGACAAAACTATACATTGAATCGTACTGCAGCATATGATACAAAGAACTTGTTTCCATAAAATAAAATTGATCTAGTCTTACAATTAGAATTTTCTTCGATCTGACGAATCTCTTTTTATTCGTCAAACAAAAAATTATGTTAAAAACTAAAATCATTGCAAATATCTGTGCAATAGCTATGCTCCTTTGATTGACAAAATTTTGAGCATCTATCCAGTAGATGTGTCCACATATCTACAATCTCGGAATGTTACACTTCCGATAGATAATCTACACATATATATAACGTTCAGTGCCTGTGTCACTTATCCATCTAATTTCACTTTGTGGCGAATATTTAGTTTAAAAACATGTTAGAAATACTTGTTATATTGTATTTGAACGTGCATATAATACAGACGTCATTGATATTGCTCGAAAATACAAAATAAGATTATTTGTTTTTCTTTCATAGAAAAAGTTCTTAATTAAACGTTTTCATTTCACATCATTTATTAAAGGAGGGGAGAGGCGGGTTTGCATGTAAAACGACCCCAAATAAAAATCATCTCAGAACACTTTATAAAATTGAATTTCATCTTCCTCTAAGTAAGAATAAAGCATCTGGGCCTCTTTCAGACCATGTTTCGAGACCTGTTCTTGACATGCCTATCTAGGACAGAAGCATTATCAATATTGGAACCCACCCTCACTGATTAACCGCATTAGTTTGCCAAATCAGTCTCATATTTTCAGGGGAGATAGAACTTTTCAAGAGCTACAAAATGTAAAGGAAAATATGCTGCGCTCGAAAATTTTCAAGGGCCATACGGTTCAGATTCTACAGAAAAACACATTGTTGGGATAGTATGATTCGTAGAATCGTACGAGACGTTCCATGAAAATATCAAAATGCCGAAAACATTAGGGTCAACCGATTTTGAATCTGACCATATATAAATGTAGGCCTTAGTCTACAATATATGAATCCAAAATATTACGGTCTAAAGATTTACCTATGGTCCGCTAGGACTAGCCGACCTATGACACCCTAAAAATACCATCACCAAATGGAAAAAAATTCAACTTTTAATTTCTGTGAATTTTTTCTCGCAATTATTTTACTATTGAAATTGAGTCATATACCAGTCGATAGAGCTTGACTTGCTCTACAAAAAAGTATATATGACATTTCTCCTCAGTCTTGATATTGAAGTCAAAATACTGTATTCTTTGACATAATGTAATTTTTTCCCCAGTATTTTGATGAATGATCCGTATCAAAAGATGAATGGCAAAACAAATTACACATCATCTTATCGACTGTTCAATTCTCAATCGAATGATATATGAGACATTAATTTTCAATTTTCTAAAGCCGAGCTAGGTAGGCTGATAAATTGAGTACTGAGCGATATTCAGTTATTACGTGTGTAATTGACTATATGTTTGTTTTCAATATTTTGAGGCAGGAGTGTAACGTTCTCTCCTGCTTCTAAAATATACTAATCTCATGTCCGTCATGCTTGTGACAGAGACCTATCACTGAGAGCACGTGAGCCCATTCCCCGCTTCGTCCCAATGATTTTGGAAATTTTGTTTGTTTTGAATATCACAACAGATAAAAGGGCTTTTCTAAGGAGATTTAGCCGCTGAATCGATATAAAAGAACATATTGCGGCCCTCTTTCTTTTCAGATTCAAGTATTTGTGCTCCCCCAGCTTTGAACACCTTTGTGCGCCTCTGTTTCGAGATGTCTCTGTTTTCTTTTCAATCAAAAGTAAAATTCAATATTAAAACCATCAAGAGTCATTAAAATTACTACGAAAAAGGTAGACCTGTCCCAATTTATCGATCTATTGTAGTAAACAATTGATGTCATTGCCGTATAACTAGTAGCCTATGATGCATTTTCGCGATTTTGCTAGTCTGAACTGGTCAAATGTGAAACTTCCTGAAAAACTAGACGTGAAATTTCTAAAATATTTGTATGGAAAAGCGTTTAACCTTCCCCTTACTTTATCGAGCGTGCCTAAGTCAGTAGTGGACACATTGTTTTCAAATAATCAAGGAAGTTACGTTTACGATTTTGATCAATTTAATATATGAATCTCTTTCATAAATTTGAACGGTGATGAAAGCTTTGTTTATATGTGTAATATTAGGGCTGCATAAATTAAACTTCTATTGTAGGTCTTACTGAGCTACCGCTCTAGAAACTAGATCAATAGAGACGTATGAAGAAAGGCTCAAAAGTAGCGAAAATAATCTATTATGAAGAGTCTTACGCAGAATTCAGTATATTATGGATAACTATCAATTCATTGATGTTAAGTGTAAATGTATAGAATTTATGTAAAGTCGCTTTACCGATAGCAGAATTGTAGATTCAGAGTTCTTTTGTCATTGAATGAGGTGACAACTAGAACTGCTGTATAAACACTTTTTTTGAAAATGTTTTGAATATTGATTGACATCGTTTTACTTTCGATTACATCAGTATATGAGCCAATGGTAAATTATAATCATCGTAATAGTTTATTTACTAGTATAGACCGGGTATGTGCCTTGTGAGTTCATGTTTTTATAAGACAGCAAAAATGGAATAATTAAGATTTCGAAGCTATTTGTGATTATATGCTTGATAGATAATATTCTTTAATGGAGCAGTTGTGTCTTATGTGTATACATTCATAATAATTACGGATCAAAACACGGAACTTTAATGTCTCATGTATCACAATTTATATGTATGAAGACCATAAGTTTATGTAAGATAATTCCTGAAGGGCAACCTATCCGTCATTCTTCGCTTGATTTTAATCGTACTGAATATAAGCCTTTGCATATTCGATTTTTAACGTATTTAGAAAATCTCGAAGTTATTTGTAATTCACTGTAGTACATATGAAACGTCAGATTCTTTCACATCTACTAGGAGAAAACTGTAAGCAACCAAATGCAAAGGCCTATATACCTCCACGACGGTAGCTTCTCAAAAAAGATACTTAAAAAAAGCAATAGCTAATTAATGATTTCATAGCTATTTAATTATTGTACAGCTGCTTTCAACTGTAGTAGTTATTCAAAGGTCATGTATTTATTGAAAGTTCCTGTACCTCTTTAAAGTTTCTGCATCAATGAAAAAAAACCATCTCAGCCATATTGCAAACCAGAGACAAACCTTATTAATATGTTTTCACACATTTTTCCAAAAAATTCTGCAACGTAACTTACCTCGTTCTCTTTTATATCATTAATACCACCGATATCATATACAGATTCAAATTATGAATACAAATATTTTTCTTTTGAATTTTTCTTATAGAAACACTATGATGAACCTCAATAATAAAAAACAAGATCAAATCGTGAACATTTGAATGTAACCAGAAATCTAATAGAAATTCAAATTTCAAGCATTTCTATTATTTCGTCGTCAACTAAATATTACAACTATTAAAATTTTCACTTTTTCTTTCACACACCTCTGCCAACCATCTGTGTTGCTTTATATCGTTAATAATATCGGTATCATAAATATTTGATTATTCTCATGAACTCTGTATACATTCGCATTGTGAATACAAAATGTTTTGTTTGAATTTTCCCTTAAAACCAATATAATGATATTCATTCAGTAGCTATGCAATTGATTAAGTAGATTGATTCATTCGGTAGCTATACGAAACTATTAAGTAGTTATGCTCAGGAAAATGCAGCAGACTATAGTAAAAAAAGTCTCTCTTTTGAGAATGAGCCATCATATTTTTACTGTGTTTATTCAATTAACTCATTTAATATTTTATGAGTCATCATATGAACATACTGTTCGATTGTTATTTTATATTCCATCTCGCCGAATCTCTTCATCAACTCTTTTGGTATTAAGAATCAGCGTTCAATGCTTTCATCACTGCCTTTTTATTCTCGATGGTCGTTTCAATCAGCTTCACACACTCCATATTCACTTGGCTAATCTTGGTCCTCCAGAAGCAATTATTAAAAGTCAAGTAAAATTTCTAAGAAAATAAATTTTATTTTAAAGTTACGTTTTGCTTTTCTAGGCGGAAATCCCAAATCTCAAGTGTTTCGTTCTATCGTGTGTTTTGCCAACGTACGATTGCGATTCATTAATTCCACCGCTTGTTCATCGAATGTCGAATTTAGAAAAACTCGGCTTACATCTTACAATCCATGTTAATGCAACATTTATTGATGGAAACAATCTGAAGAAATATATTCTTAATCATATGCCAAAATTAAACATATTTTCATTTGATCTTCATTCCATTGCATCGATTAATAATCTAATACGTTTACCATTAAAAGAAGATATTCAACAAGCATTTAGAAATTTTCCATGTACACAAATAACAACTCGTATTGATTATTTTCTAGAAGAAAACTGGGGTCAGTATCACACTTATTCATATCCATTCCTGATGCAATATTACAAAGATATAACAAACAATTTTCCAGGCGGATTATATCAATAAGTTCGTGTAGTATCATTACGCGATACACGCCCATTTGAACATGAAATTTTTATTCAAATTATTCAATCATTTCCATTTATGGAGAATTTATCGGTGAATAATCGTCACTCCCAAAATCAAAAGCAACCTGTTGCATCAATGAATGATAATCATAATTTATCAATGGTTAACTATTGTTATCTTACTAGACTTTCAATGCGACCTGTTCATGATGATTATATCGAAGAATTTCTATTGAATACAAAAATATATTTCGAAAATAATATTACTCTTGATATCGATTATAAATCATTACAAAGAGTAACACATAGTTTTACAAGAGAAGATACAAGAAACAATTGCATCAAAATCAAGCAACTGAATTTATACAACGAAATACAATATCCTAAAGAGATACAAGATTATTTTCCTTTTGCAAAAATAAAATAGTTTGTTATTATTAAGTAAACGACCGTATGACTTTTAATAATTTTAAATACACTTATTTCGATGGAACATTGAGTAACAAAAATCCAGGTGAAACAAAAAATTTAGTATAATTTTCACGCATGTATCATGTACATTATTAAATTTTATCAACTAAATTCGTACTATTTTAATCAGATTAATAATCAATACAATGGTTCATATCAGTTAAAATATCTGAAATTGATTTTCATAAATGTGACAAGCAGCGGAATAAATACCCATCTTCGTTGCAGCTATAGCGTTGACTGTTTTCATTGGACATACGTCTATGTAATAGAGTAATCAATCATGGACTAATACAATGAAAGAGAATTTAGTGAAGATGTGCATATGAACGTAATTAGTATTATGATACAAATAGCTATCTGCTTTATTTAGTCTTGCCTTATTTCGCCAGTGGGTATCTCTTGTAGAATTGTGATAATGGCAAGCTTTTACATGATTTTCTTAAATTTTTGTCTGATGAGCAATTTTAAAGTACAAAAGATACGGGGAGCAAAAGAAAAATCTTTATTTAAAGTGATTAATGAAGAATTCATGTTTGCAGCTTGTTGGATAAGATAATTTATTTGAAGTTCGCCAAGCCTTGTTCCACTTTAAACAAAATAATTATCGACTACAATGAAGTTTCTTTCAAATTTTAGATCTACGGAATCATTTTTAAAGGAAAAATTTAATTCTAAATGAAAAGAAGTCTCCTCATTTATAAAACATCAAATACGAAGCAATCCTCTTATGTACTTATGCCAGCTTCGAGCTATTCTTCATAAAAAAAATGAATTTTTCTTCAGGGGATTTTAAGCTTTTTCTAACGTAAGCACAGAAACATACGTAATTTCATTGATATCAACAGAGAAATGAATGTTCAAGTAAAGAACAATGATCAATAAGTGAATCATACATGCAGTTTTCTGTACAGAATTATTAGTAAAAAAGCAAACAATCGATGGATGCGACCTCATTAGAGTAAACGTCATTGTGTACAATTGTAGTTGGTTGAGTTGAGATTCTTTTTCTTCCTCTCTTACTTTTCGCTAGTCTATTGCTTTTATGGCTGATGAATGCCACCATATTTTTGCTGTTTTTCTTTTCTTTTCTCTTCGTAATTTAATGGTTGGATACGAGATACCATGCCGATAGAAGTAAAGAACAGTCGTCATCGGCAAGTAAACGTAGAAAAATATTATTGCGAATAGTACTCGTCGAGGTTTATTATCATCAAACATGGCCAGCACTAAAAATGAACGTACTTTTATTATGGTAAAACCCGATGGTGTGCAACGTGGTGTTGTTGGAGATGTTATTCATCGATTTGAACAACGTGGTTATAAACTAGTCGCACTTAAAATGCTTCAGGTTTTATTCGAAAAATATAATTTTTTTCTCTCTAAATGTTATTTCTTATTTTAGGCACCGAGAGCTTTACTCGAAAGTCATTATGAAGAACATAAAGGTTAAAAAACAAAACAGTAAACAAGCTTATCATATAATGTAAATTGATTTTTTAGGCAAGAAATTCTATGAAATACTATTAGCATATATCGGCAGTGGACCTGTTGTTGCTATGGTATGGGAAGGCTTAAATGCTGTGTCCGTTGGTCGTAAAATGCTCGGCGCTACTGATCCAGCAAAATCTGAACCTGGTACTATTCGTGGTGATTTCGGCATTGTTACAGGACGGTAAGAAACTATTCATTTTTTAATCCAATATTTTATTCTTTCCAAATTTTAGTAATATTGTTCATGGTAGTGATTCAGAAACATCTGCACAACGTGAAATTGCCTTATGGTTTAAACCTGACGAAATCAGTCAATGGACACATACAGCGGAACAATGGATTTATGAATAGAATCAATCAAATCATAGTAGAACACATGGAATACTGATTTATCTTAACCATCATTTTAGTTAGCTTTTAGTTGTTTTACTTTTTATTTTCAACAAACATAAAACCTTAGAAAATAAACTTCATCTATGAACCTTAACGACGATATTGCAGCCAATGTTCTAATTCGTTCAAGCGAACTAAAATTAATTCAGCAAAAAGCGAATTCACCCAAGCAAACCTAAATTGAGCACAATCAAATTAAAATAAGAACGAAGCATGACATAGATTTTATTTACCATGGACGAGTGAATTCTTTTGAATTGTTAGTATTGAAGCTTTCATGCATGGCAAATGTTTCAGCATGACTTGCTTCTAATCGTTGCCAAACACTATCAAGATTTTTCTCAGAATCATTTGTTAATCCTTCCATTATAATTGACATCGGCCAAACAAATCCTGGTGGCGTATGATGGCTACCAATACCATGAGCATGTTTACCTTGAAAAAATAATCGATTATCTGGTGATAAAATAAAATTACGCGTTGATGCAATCAATTGATCTTGTGGATCATAAGGTGTTTTAAAGTCAAGATACGATGCTGAAAGAAGTGACGGTACATTGGCATCGTCAAGGAGTAACGTCTGAGAGAAACCATCTGTTTCATATGCATAAATTTGACCATGTTTATCATGATGAACTACTCCATATGTATGGATACCTGAGAGAATATCTGCACGTAGCTGATTAATCTATATCAGAAAAGTTTTTTTTAAAGCTTCTTTATTAAATATTAATACCTGTTTTAATAGTTCAATTTCTTTGGGAAATAATTTTCTAATCATTTGACCTAACTCTTTTAAAGCTACGCTTGCCATCATATTACTCGGAATAAGATAACCGAATCCAGTTTGATCATCACTCGGTCGAAATGCGCTCCATGTCATGCCTGTATATGCAACACGTGAACCTTGATAATCATTTTTTAATTCTGTATAACGGTAAGGTGAAATTTCTGAATGATGCTGCTCAATAATCATCACTTGTATGATAATTCGAACAGCAGTTAACCATCGTTCGTTAAATACATTTGTTTGCCGAGTTTTTTTCCACCATGTGTAACTTAAACGTAAATGATAACATAAACTATCTAATTCATAATTATGCATAGCAACATGAATATTTCGACCTTTTTTAACATGAACTGGTTCTAGGGAATCGTCCGATGGCGGTTTCGGCCGAAGAGTTAAGCGAAATGAACTACCATAAGGATTACAAAAAATAAATTCTATTTGACGACGAATAAGACCTTCAATTATACGTTGAATTTCCTTGTCATTCGAGATCGACATATATTGATGAACTTGAGCACTTGAAGATTTTTCAAAAAAAAAAAGTATTACTTTAATTATTCAATTTATTCTTTTCTTCTCGTTTTACTTTGCACTCTCACCTACTATCACGTAACCACATAAGATCAATATCACCAGTTATCATATAAGTTGTACCATCATCGAGTAAAGTTGTTGTTGTACCTATTGTATCTGCATAGGATTTTGTAAATAATTTACACCAAATTTCTCCACCCGATTTATTAGAAGCAGTCAATCGTTCGCATACACGATTGATTTCATTGTTTACGGCGTTTGGTAGTATTTTATAATCGCGTATCGCTTTCGGAATATGTTGATTCGATAATGGTGTTGGCTGATAAGGTACAGACGGATATTCTTCTGTTGGTAACCAAATCCATGGTTGATCATTTGAAGTTAATGTACTATCCAACAATGCTTTAAGAGTTTCAAGGGCTCTTCTAGATCTTTCAATGGTGCTGATTGGGTCATTATTCGCATTTTTCGAATTCGAAAAGGATAATAGTGATTTGTCGTGACTGGTCGATGATGCACATTGAAAAATATAATTAACAGAATAAATATTAAACAAAAGACTGATAAAAATAATTAAACCAATAGTTTCTAGACGAATATATTTTATTCGTGTTCGAATCGATTTCATTACAGCGGATGATGTGCAAGAGTTAAACATGACGTAATAACTACGAATCAGTTCTGTAAATGAAAAAATTATAAGATCTTTTTAATTTTAGTATTAGTTAAACAATATTTCAAAGAAGCGGAAATTACAAAATAAAGAAAAGAGAGGTATGGCATCATTCTTTCAAGTCTCATACGAAGCCAGGGATGTGGCAAAGAAAAAAAGAAATGACGCCATGCAAAAAACTTTCTCCGTGCAACAAAGATGCACATGGATTTTTTTTAAATCTGAGCAGAGCAAAATTTCTTTTTCATTCTCAAGAAAAGAACAATTTTGGTGCAAAAGAATGAAAATATTGTCACAGTAAGAGGGAGAGCGCTTTTGCTTGCTGCTGCATCGTTACTCGAAGCCTTATACTAAGTTTAAATGTGAGCAGAGTAAAATTTCCTTTTTACTCTAAAAAAAAAGAACAACTTTTGATGCGAAAGAATCAAAATATTGTCACAGTAAGAGGGAGAGCGCTTTTGCTTGCTGCTGCATCGTTACCAGCAGCTTCACACTAAGTTTAAATGTATCGCATGCGTCGTGATTTGCGACACAATGTGCGACACATTCGAGTGCGACATCAGGTGCTCGTTGTGACATATTATCTTCAGCGATGGAATGGCACAACACATTTTGTACGACACATGTGACACATTCTGAAACTTTGCTTTGAATCCACTAGCCAGAATTTTTTTTATTTTGATCAAAAAGATCATGATAATTTTTTCGATTTTGGTCTATTGAACAGTTTCATTTCTGAAAACTCAAACAGGCCAGATCTTGAGATCTGCCCAGTCTCGAGTAGGTTCGGTTTTTACCAAACCATTTTCGGGTAGTCCTACCTCAATCAATGACCACGATAGGCATTCTATCGACTAATTATTAATCGAGAAATAATCTAAAAAATATTTAAATGAACATACGAAGGGTGTGGATGTGAGTGGGTGTCGGTGTGACTGTGACTGTATTTTTTATTCAACCACACCCACACCCTGCTTATAATTCTGAATCGTTTAAAGTGTTTAGTATTCGCAAAAGAAAAATATGTGACTACACTTGATTAGCCAAAACGCAATTTATTTGTACGTTCTCTAGACTGAAAGGATAGGGTCTAGAAACCTAAATTTTCTGCGTTTGGAATGGTGACATCTGTGTTTGGATCGGTGACGTTTATGTTTGAGTCGGTCGCATATGTTGTTTGTGTATTTTGATCTAATCTTCGAGGTAAATTCAGTCTTCTGGTGGATTTTCTAGCTGCATATGCGATTCTATTTTTTGCTAGTTAATTTTCAAAAATATCGCAAGCTTTTTCTGTTTTTTAAATATCCGTCTTCCCTGATCTGATTTCAGTTTTCGTGTTTTATTGCGCTTTTTTCTTAATTTCACTCTCGAGTATCTCATCATAAATAGTTTTATTTTCTCTGAGTTTGTGTACTTTGAATACAATGTTATCGCAAAATAACGGTGCCAACTCATCGCCCGTTGATCTTAATTCTTCCAGTAGCATTCACGATTATATGAAAATGAATATCCGCTTGTCGGCTTCTACCAACCGAATGCGAGCTTTTCGTGTTCGTCGTGCTCTCGTTGAGACTGCTGAACAAAAAGAGAGTCGCCTGGATGTTGGCAGGCAATACAGAAAACGGCGATTGATCGATTTTGGTGTCAAAAACAGATGAAGAGAAGCAAACGCATCTTATATCTCGTAGCCAATACGAAGTGAAACGTCTAGCCGATAAATGTGCAAAAGAAAACGCAAAGGAGAAAGAAGAACGTCTTACAGTCAAAGGTGAGAAAGAAATAAGCCGCCGACACAACTTACGAGCGCACGAGACTGATGTGGAGCGAAATACTAGATTATAGCGTGATTGTGATTAACATCGGTAAGACTCGTAGTTTCTTTGTTTTTTTTTACCAAGCATTCCTTTCTTTTTGACTCATAGGGCGAAAACATGTGCAAAAAAGAATTCAAATATGGCAGCTGACCGAAATTGGGCTGTATGCGGCTATAAAATCCTGACTCAAAATTGGTCACAATTAACTATCAGATCGTTTCCGAACCTGCATCTTCTTCGCCCTCAAAGCGACGAGATATCGGATTATGCTTTGAAAATTAATTTTTCACGACTTACTAGTAAGGATCTTTATTGATCGTAAATCATCATTTTGAAACGTTTTCTAACTCAAAATAGGCCATGTTCGGCGAATGTTCGAAACTTGCTTTGGTTTCGATGTTTTCGTGAATGGAGCACTGTTAGGACGATGTAGGATCGATACGACAACTGGATTGACAGTTGTGTGCCGTGGCTGCCAGACCTCTTTACGAAGCAATGCTACGCCTCGGTCTACATTGAGTTGCTTATACTCTCTAGATAATGTTTTGGATGAAGAATAATTTTTGTACTGTATATAAAATTGACGTTGGTTAATATTTTTAAGTTGTTCTAACATAAAGACGGAACATCTCCGTATTTAAATCTAATTTCCTTTTCAGTTGGTTACTTAATAATATCCTAACTATGAACGGTAGAAAGACTTCATTGTTTCCGTGAATACCATCAGTGCCAAAAACAGAGCTACGAAAGCTTAGTAATTCGTTCTTTTTAAATTTCTTGTTTCAAAATCTCCAGTTCTTTCATTCAAATATATTCAACATTAGCAGTCTACGGTAAAGTAAATATGCATTCGATGAATATTATTTCTTTTTTTTTTACAACTTTTAGATATTTATATTTCTGTGCTTTGTAGTTTCGACTTTTGAACTTTAAATTGTTTTTATTTTGAACTGATTTCTAATTATGAAGTTTAAAAACACTCGACTTTTCTCTTGTAGTACATCTTTTGATTTCATTCAGAGATGTACCCTTTGATAGTCGCATTTGCATATCTGGTCACATCACATTTCATCGCCTCTTAGTCTAAGGACAAGTGAATCAAAATTCGATGAACATTACTTGCCGAGCTAACGAAGCTTGAATGATTTAGAGCCTGTTGTAACGATAAATAGGACTCTTGCTAATTAACGTATTAAGACAAAAGGGATAGAGGTGGAGTAGCTTACCGCCACTCACGGCAATGATGTTTATTCCCATGTCACACAAACCGATCGAAAACCGTCGGTTAACCGCGGTTAACCGATTTTTATAAAAATGGACCGCGGTTAACCGATTTTTATAAAAATGGACCGCGGTTAACCGACGGTTTTCGATCGGTTTGTGCGACATGGGTTCGCTTCTTCACATATTCAGAGTGTAACAACTTCATGCATAACACACGTATATATAGGAGAGAGAGAGAGAGAGAGAGAGATTAGGACAATGGAAAGAGAGCAGAAGCAGGAGGAAGGAGAATCATCAAAGCGTGCCATCAATATCGGCACACCTGTTGTCCGAGTAAATTGCATAGCTGATCGTTCAACATAGAAGTACTCGTTTGACAACCCATGAGACGGCCAGGAGTGACATGGTAATGAAAACAAAGGCACGCTGTATTGTTGCACCATTGCAGTTGTCTTTATTCGAACAACAATAAACTGTACCGGATGACCCAGTAGTCTGACTTGCACTGCAGATAGCCTGTGAACCGTCACGTACTATTCGAATCGCTGTATTTGTATGTGTACTTGTACCATAATTTGACCAATATATTATTTTCTAGTTTATCAACGAAAATTCAATGGCGAAAACTTAGTGAGAGATTGTTACTCACATGACAAGAAACGTAACCTGCTTGTGTTAAACTACTCGATAATGATGTATCTCCCTTGAACGAATCTTCGCAAGCATAATTCGTAGCGGTCGAACATATTATACAATGCAATCCTTTTGCTACTGAAATCAATCCTGAAAAGAGTACAGTTTATTTATACATACATCATCTGAATAGAAACGAATGACTTACCTAATAAGTTCAGATATGATAGAAGGATTATATTCATTCTTTGTAATTTTTATGCAAGAATTGCCTATATGAGTCAATAAAATGGATGAAAAAAGAATGATGTCCTAATCCACTCCCCCAACGACTCCCCTGGGAGTTCCCGCAAAAGAACGAAATCCCTAGGGACTCCCTGTCGTGAGTCCCCGGGGATTCTTCATGGGACTCCCTGAGGATTCTTCTCTGGAGAGTTGACTAGGGGTGTTGTTTTTTTTATCAATCCATATATCTGTACAATGATGACTGAAGACTCATCTATCAATTATTTAAATCATTATGGAGTACGGCACTCTCGCCTATATTTTTTGGAATAATATTTGATTTCGACACAAACATACGGCTTCTCTGTTGATTCTCGAGGTCATATTTCAATTTGTGACATGCTTGGCATCAATATTTACAATGTATTATTTGCTGATTCAATAGTAATTGATTAGCACTCTATGAAAATAGAATACATTTTAAGAAGTGCCGTTGAATCTCGAGATATTGTTAAAATGTATTTATCTCTTAAAGTGATCACACTATTTCGAAAATTAAAACTTTCCTAATATGGCAATTGAACTAAAAATTTAAGATTTAGACTCTTAAAGACAATTTTTGCATATCGGATAAAAAAGGCTGCCCAGTTCCAGTGCCTCATTCATTTTCCATTATTGGAGGAAGTGTCCCGCTTTTGGCACACCCTCTGTGCTGTGTGGATTTGTCGTATTACATCCAAATCCTGCAGTAAGATACTGAACAATATCTCAAAGTTTAAAAGGCTAAATTAAATTTTTTGTCGACAGATACCAAGCGACCAGAATACTTTTTTTTACCATCCAGATTATATTTTATGGATTCAAAAATTATTGGTCCATTTGTTTCTTTTTGGGCTTATTTCACTCTTAGATAAGAAAACGATAACAGTAAGGTAGCGCATAGTTTTTCTTTTTTAGGGGGCATATCTGGGTAATGTGCACTTATTTATTACTTGTTCTGTCCACTTATGCCTGTAGCTTACAGCAAGTATACGAACTTTATTTATTTTAGGTTTTAATGAGTCGAGCAAAAGAAATTTAACACTATTGTAATCGATTTTCGACATATGGTTTATATTTTGTTAAACCAATATTTGCGTATCTAGAAAAGATCTTCAGAAATTTTCTGAAAGCTCCCAATAGATGTGAGTCATGATTTTATAGATTTATCAAGCTAGTCATTTTTTTCATTTTATCCTTTAAAACAACATGATAGGCTGCTCGAAACAAATCTAGTACGAGCCAATCATTTTTATTATCTGTTGGGTTGTGTGAAATCTAAAATATGGCAAAAAAGAAAAGTTTTTATTTTCTAATGTTTAAAGCCGCTATTGCTAATAGAAAGATATTTATTTTTCAGAAATTGGTTCAACTCAATATAATATTTGTTTACTATTATATATTACGTCTATCCAATTTCTGACGTTGAGATTTCACTAAATCAAAACGTCAATTTTATTTAAAATACAAGAAAACAGAAGAGAGTACAGCATTGTTAATTTTCATTTTTAGATGTCTTTTATTGAAGTTAGTAGTGATTCTCATTTCCCTCTTCAAAATTTACCCTACGGGACATTTTCAACAAACGATAATGTAAGTTATATGTTTTCTTTTAAATCCTACATACAAAATAAATACTATAGGCACAACCAAGAATTGGTGTTGCGATCGGAACGAAAATATTGGATTTGTCTGTTATTAAACATTTATTTGATGGACCCCATTTACATGAAAATCAAAATGTATTTGAAGAGGTAAATTATAAGTTCAGCTTTAGATTTTTAGATTTATTGATTGAAAAAGATTAATCGCGTACTGTGCTGTTTTCATCGTTTTATGACATGGAAAAGGCTAATTTTATATTTTTACTTAGGCAACACTCAATAAATTTATGTCACTTGGTAAACCAGCATGGAAAGAAGCTCGACAACGATTACAAGAACTTTTATCTGATAGTTGTACAACGTTAAAAGATAATGATGGATTACGTAAAAAGTACGTTATCAAATTAACTCGCACTTTTTTTTCTTAACTGTTCATGAATGTATCTAATGAATAATATCTAGAGCTTTCGTCGAACAAAACGAGGCTAAAATGCATCTACCTGCACAAATAGGTGAACTTAATTGATCTAAGCTGCTTGATTAGATTCATTTAAAAAGTCTTCTTAATTGCATTTAATTCTTTCGTTTATAATATTTATTGAGATTTTTGTTTTTGTCTCAGGTGATTATACGGATTTTTATTGTTCAAAAGAGCATGCAATGAATGTTGGAACGATGTTTCGCGGAAAAGATAATGCTCTCAATCCAAATTGGTTACATCTACCAGTTGGCTATCATGGACGAGCTTCATCCATAGTTATAACCGGAACAGATATTCGTCGACCCAACGGACAAACATGTCCTGATGAAAGTATTATTTAAGTTTATTTTTTCCACTAGACAATATGTTTTTCTCATACTATAGGTAAACCGCCAACATTTGGCAATTGTAAATTACTTGATTTTGAACTTGAAATGGCTTGTTTTATTGGTGGGCCAGGTAATCAACAAGGAGAACCAATTACAATGGATACAGCTGATGAATACATGTTTGGTGTTGTAATCATGAACGACTGGTCGGCACGTGACATACAAAAATGGGAATATGTCCCATTAGGTCCATTTAATGCAAAAAATTTCGGTACAACACTTTCACCATGGGTTGTAACAATGGATGCATTAGAAAGTTCTTTATGTGATGGACCAATACAAGTGAAGATTTTTTTCATTTGATAAATGAAGATTCGATTTTTAAAAAAACCCTTTTTTTCAAGGATCCAAAGCCATTATCTTATTTAACTCGACAAGAACCAAGTACATTCAATATTGATTTACAAGTTACATTGAAACGTAAGAAAGCTTTCAATTTTGTTGCTTTTGAATATTTTTTTGAAAATTCATTTAGCGAATAATTCTTCCAAAGACTATATAATTTGCAAGTCAAATTTAAAAGTAGGAACAAGAAAACAATTTTCAATTCGTTACTATTTTTCGACTTGTTTATGTCAATAGTACGTTTATTGGAGTTTAAAACAAATGCTCGTTCATCACACAGTAACTGGATGTAATTTACGACCTGGAGATTTATTTGCAACAGGCACAATTAGTGGTCCCACACCTGAGTCATATGGGTCCATGCTTGAATTGTCATGGCGTGGAACAAAACCTTTAGAATTAGATGAAAATTTAACAAGAAAATTTATTGACGATGGCGATACAATAACAATGACGGGTAAAACATAAAATACAAACCAAATGAATTGACCTGTTTTTACAATCATAATCATTTTCTAGGTTTTTATCAAGGCGATGGTTTTAAAATTGGTTTTGGACAATGTACTGGAAAGATCATCCCAGCATTACCATTGCCAAAGTGAACGTTCTCTTTTGTTTTATTTAATCATTTAATTGATGATTAACAACTATTACTTGGAGATTATCAATATAATTGCTCTTAGATTTAATAAAGGATATACGAGGGAAAGGTTTTTTTCGATGATGCATGTTATGTCCTTAAGACGATTAAATTTTAATTTTTTTAGAATTTATTGAAAAAATATGAAATTCAACTAGAGAATATCGATGTAACTTTAACATTAAAGTACATGTGCAACAGTTAACCGTGTGTCGTGTGAAATTATCATTACGGTATAATGAGTGTGAGCGTATTTATAGGTGATTTTGTTTCGATAACTATTCAGATGATTCAATTCATCATCATCCTCATCGTCAAGATATATGAACATAAAACTTGTAGGTATATATATCCTACTAAATTTCTTATTTATTCTATAAAATTATCTTACGAAAACTAGCTCTTTTTCGAATAATCATCTTTTCTTCGATCCTAATTGCATTCATATGACTGTAGTAATAAATTATAATCCCATCATCTATTATTGTAGTTGTTTCTTCAAAACCAATGGTGATATCTATTCAACAAAAACTATATCGTAAGTACACAAGATAATTTATGAAATTTCGTAGCACCTCATGTTTGTCACACTTAGTTTGGAAAACTTATCTTGTTCTGATTTGACTTGGTAGCAATAGTTAAATTAATTATTTGTTGTGATAAATTTTAACTGTAAACATTGAACAAGGGATCTTTTACTTTTTCTGACTTATGCAAATAATTCTTCTATGTTGATAGCTATTAATCGCCAACCCTAATAGGTATGTGCTTGTTCGCATTCATGGTGTTTGCTGGTCATAATAGAACAGCTATGTTTCTCTCAGAATCGGCATTCCTATTCTATCAAACATGAGATTAGGATCTATTTTAAAAACTATTTTACTGCCATTTCGAAACATGAGCACCGAAAATCAAATGAAAAGCCTATAAAATGTGAATGTATTGATATGTGCGAGTAAGGGATACTAAAATATATTCTTCGTAAGAATTTAATTTTAATTAAGCGAAGCATTTTTATCAAATAATGGTGTACTGTTGACTTTGTTCTGTTGTTAACAATAGCAGAAGGTGAGAATCTGTTTTAGCTAGAAAAAAATCATTTGTTTTTCTTAGCTCTTGAAACTCGCATAGTTTTCTATTCACATTAAAAAGAGTAGCTATTTCCGTAGGTTCACATACGCACAATAATAAAGCCAGCACTCTCCAACTTTCCATTTTGCTACACAGATCAAGTAGGCAGTAAGTTATTCGTAATAATAACAGGGGGTAGTATTTTACCGGTGACTTGATCCATCTATCTAAGTTCGTTACTGGAAAATATTAATTTATTCATATGTTTCTCTTCCTTTTCAAGAAGAAATTTATTTGTTCTGTGCACACAGGAAAGTAAGAACAACGGAGAAAAAACTCAGGAACTTAATCTTGTAACTGAGAAATATTTAATCATTGATTCAAACTTTTAAAGTTATGCTGTTACTGCGTACATCGTTAGCTTTCATCTCTTGTACTTCAATTCATAGTGATTATTCATTATTTCATACTAATATTCGTCAACTGTCCTATCTAACATTCGATTGTTTATATGCTTATTTAGTTGATGGTGGCAGAGAAATAGGTGGAAGTTATATTCGTAGTTATCATTTAATTCTATACTGTAGATGTCCTGATAATGATAAAGAATTGGAACAAGAATCTCACCTTAACCATGAGAATATAGCGCAACGGATAAGTTTTGATGAATTGAGAAAACGAAATGTCACAAGTGAACAATTACTCGCATGGTTTGCACCAATTGATGTTGCAGAAAAATATGAAATGAATAATGATAGTTCAGATCTTTTTTTATCAATGTAAATCACCATGGTTTGGTCCTATGTGTCAATATAAATTCGGTCATAGTGTATCGATATCGTTCAGTGATATTGTTGAAGCTACTTTTAACAATTATTCGGAAATCATTAAAAATGTTACTACAGGTTCTTGCTATCGATTCTTAGATAATTGCAACCAAGAATTATGGCCTCGGTGTCTCGATTGGCGAGAAATTTGTGATGGGAAAACTGACTTTTCGAATGGAGAATTAGATATGACTAAATGCAGCGATCATGAATATCAATGTCATTATGGTGGTCAATGTATTCCAGCAGAATAAGTATTGATTGTCTAGATGGTACCGATGAGCAAGAGGAGCGTTTTCAATTTAGTTGGTTGATCAATCCCCAGTGTACGAATATTCAAACATTTCAATTTCAGGAACGTACTACTCGATACCCTTTCTCGTTCTCATGTGGTGATGGTCAATATTTATCATCCTTTGATTTACCTAATCTCATAAGTAGCTGTTCGAATTATCGAGATATAGAATTCTCACGCTCAATCCTTACTTCGCTAGATCATATCTCAGACATTGACTGTCGTGATGCATTTCTATGTACTATGTACTCCAATCGAACACAAAATACAGGTAAGAATATATTTAGAGAAAGAAAATAAAACTGATAAGTATATGAAAATCACTGTTCTCTTGTATTCAATCGATCACTTAAGAGAATATACCGAATAATCTCCAATTTTCAGTTTTTAAAGCTTATTTAAAGTCTTAATTTTTCAAGTATTAGAATAAAGTTATATGAGACAATCGCACTGAAAGTCTTGATACACATGTCCCT